GGAAAGTAAAGACTCTGCTTGATTTTTACATCTCCAATCCCGTGTATTTGTTACCTGGAGAGGACCCATCGAGTCACGGACCCTAACACTGAACATTTAAAAATATTTATTGGCCATTTATATTCCACTTTTGAGAACTCGTTCAGTTTCTTACTCCACTTTTTGACCAAGTTGTTTCCTTTTTTAACTTCTTTTTTTCAGTTTTTTGTAAATTCAGGGTATTAATCTTCTGTCAGATGTGTAACTGGCAAAGATTTTATCCCATCCTGGAGGCTGTCTCTTCACTCAATTAACTTCTTCCTTTACTGTGCAGAAGATTTTTAATTTCATGAGGTCCCATTGGTCAATTGTTGGCATTATTTGCTGAATGACTGGAAAATTCTATCCAGCAAGTCTTTGCTTATGCCTGTAACTTGCCCTACACTTTCCTCTAATAGTTCTAGAATTTCAGGTGTTATATTAAGGTCTTACTTAGATCCATTTGGGGTTGATTTTTAAAAATTTTTATTTTTGTTATTTATGTGTATGAGTGTATTGCCTGCATGTGTGTAAATGCACCCATGCCATACAATGCCCACAGAGGTCAGAAGAGAGTTATAAACGGTTATTAGATACTATGTAGGTGTTAGGAATTGAACCTGGGTCTTCTGTAAGAGCAACCAGTGTTCTTAACCACCGAGCCATCTCTCCAGCCCCTGGAGTTGATTTTTTTACAGGGTGAGATGTAAGAATCTAGTTTTAGTCTTTTACATGTGGATGTCTAGTTTCTCCAGATCATTTATTGAAAATGCAATCTTATACACCAATGTATATTTCTTGCATTTTGTTAAAAATCATGTAGCTGTAGCTGCATATCTGGGCCTTCTATTCTATTTCATTAATCCCCGTGTCCATTTTTGTGTCAGTGTTTTTGTTACTATGGCTCTGTAGAATACCTTGGAATCAGGTATGGTCATCCTTTCTGCATTATTATTTTTGCTCAGGTCTGCTTTTGCTATCTGGGGACTTAAGTGCTTTCACATAAATTTTAACATTTTTTATTTATTAATTTCTGTGAAGAAAGGCATTGGCATTTTGTTGGGAATTGCAATGAATATGTAGATTCCTATCCTTTCACCTTAAATTTGTTTGGGGTAGTAGAGTTGTTTTTACAGTATTAATTCTAATTCATGAGCATTGGAGGGCTTTCCATCTTTTAATGCTTTCAATTTCTTTCTTCAGCATTCATAAATTTTCATTGCAGAGGGTTTTTCAATTCCTTGGTTGGGTTTATTGCAAGATGTGTTTTTTTTTCAGGAAGTTGTTTCCCCGATTTCTTTTTTAACATGTTACTGGTATACAAGAAAACTACTGATTTTTGACGTTAATTTTGTATCCCACCATTTTGCTCAAAGTGTTTCTCAGAGCTGTCACTTTTTTGGGGCAAAGACTTCATGATCTCTTATGTATTAAATAATATCACCTGCCAAAAACAGTAATTTGACTTCTTTTCCTTTTTGTGCCCTTTTTTATTTCCTTCTTATGTCATATTGCACTAGCTAAATAGTGCAAGCATTATATTGAATAAGACTGGAGAACAGGCCAGGCATGGTGGCACATGCCTTTAATCTCAGCACTTGGAAGGCAGAGGCAGGCAGATCGCTGTGAGTTCAAGGCCAGCCCGGTCTACATAGCAAGTTCCAGGACAGCTGGGACTACAGGGAGACCCTGTCTCAAAAACACCAAAAACAAAACAAAAGACTGGAGAATGTAGGCACACTATGTTGTTCCTGGTTGTAGTGGAAATGCTTTGAGTTTTCTACTCTCTGACATAATGCTGGTTTGGTTTGTTGTATATAACTTTTATTATGTTGAAGTATATTCACTCTATCCCTAGACTTTGATCATGAAGGATTGTTGCATTTTGAAAGTTTTTTTTTTTCTGTATCTATTGAGAGAATCATGTGATTTCTGCTCTTGAGTCTATGTATGCATTACATTTATTGACTTGTGTATGTTGAACCACCCCTGCATCTCTGGAATAAAGTCAACTTGATCATGGTAAATGTTTTTGATGTGATTTTTAAATTCATTTCATTGAGAATTTTCCCATCTATGTTCATAAGGGAGATGAGCCTTTAATTTTTTTTTCAGGAACTTTATATCATTTATTCCACCCAGCAGATTTCTGTATTTTCATAGGAATAGAGTAGCATTGTAAATATCCACTTTTTGGGCAGATATTTGAAATCAAGTGAAAAAATGAATCCTTTGGACACATTCAGAAGATGGTGAGTCCACCTCCTTCTCAGTATTGGGTGAAATTGGCTATGATGTGCTCATGATCGAAGGGAATATAGTAAGAAACCCCTTCATTTAAAGGTGTTTTGTTGCTAAGGAACTCCCAGTATGTCTTGTGATAGCATTTTCAGTGATACCAACAAGTGGTATTGTGAGAAGACCATGGCTACAGTAAGCAGGGGAAATTCCAAACCCCCATGTCCATTGCCCAAATCCTCCCTTCCTTGAAAGGCAAGACGTACCTAGATGTGCCCCAAGTGACTTGTGGCCCTGATCATGATGAGCCTTCAATTTATTGTTTTATCTTTATCTGGGTTTGGTGCTGGGGTAATATTAGCTTCATAAAAAGCTTACTAAATTTATCTTTCCATTTTTGAATTGTTACTTCTTTCAAGGTCTGGTAGAACTCAGCAGTGAATCAAGTTGGGGAGAATCTAAAACAAGTTATTTACTACTTTTATTGCTTGAGAATTTCATACAACATATTTTGATCATATTGCCCCCCCAACTCATCACCACCAATTTCATTTTTTTAAAACTATTATTACTACTTCAGTCCTGTTTCTTGCTACAGCTTGGTCTAAATTTTTTATCATCTTGGTTTAATTTTGGTAGGTTACATGCATCTAGAAACCAGTTGTTTTAGATTTTCCAATTCAGTTGAGTGTTTTTAAGGTATGTTCTAATGATGTTCTGAATTTCATTGCTATCTGTTATATTCTGTCCCTTTTCACCTATAATTTTATTAATTTTGGTTCTCTCTTTTGGTTTGACTAAGAGTTTGTTGATCTTGTTTATATTTTTGAAGAAACAATTGTTTCAGGACTCTTTGTATTGCTTGTCATTTCCACTTAATTTCTGTCCTGATCTATCTACTGATTTTGCATTTGGCTTGCTTTTATTTTTCTAAGATCCTAAGGTGGATCATTGGTTAAGATCTCATTTTTTAAAATCTAGGAACTTGTAGCTATAAACTTCCCTCAGGACTGCTTTCAGTTTATCTAATAAGTTTTGGTATGTTGTGCCTTCATTTTAATTTGATTCTTTAATTTCCTTCTTGATGTGTTCAGTGACCTATTCATCATTAGTGTGTTGCTTAACTTCCACGAGTTTGTGTGTGTTCTGTAGTTTCTCTTGCTGGTGATTGCTAATTTCATTTCATTGTGGTCTGATAGAATATAGGAAAGTATTTCAATTTTCCTATATTTGCTAAGACTCATTTTATGTCTTATTATAGTGTCTATTTTAGAGATAGTTCCTTGGGAAGCTAAGGTGTATTCTGTAGTATTTAGATGGAATATTCTATGGATGGATGTCTGTTAGGTTCATTGGGTATATATGTCATTTAAATCAGTTGTTTTTTTTTTCCATTTCCTTTTCTTGTTGGCAAAACGAGTCTATTGGTGAACATGGAGTATTAAAGTCACCCATGATTACTGTGTTGGAGCTGTTACTTTACCTCTACTAGTATTTGCTTTATGAAACTAGGTGCATCATGTTCAGTATGTATTTGTTTAAAATCGTACTGTCCTCATGAAGGATTGCTCCTGTAGTCAATATCTTTTAATTAAAAAAATTTTTTTATGTGTATGCATGTGCTGCCTGCTGTGACCTTTATCTCTTCTAAGTTTTGTTTGAAGTATATTGTGCCTGATATTAAACAGCAACACCCACTTGTTTCCTAGCCTCATGGATGTATTTATCTTTCTCTTCAGTATGAGAGATTTCTTCAGTTATCTTCTTAGAGCTGGCTTAGTAGTTATGAATTCATTTAGTACAGAAACACTTGCATGTCCATGTTCATTGCAGCTCTATTCACCGTTCTCTAATGTAATGCCTCTCGCTCGCTGAGCTACACCCCAAGGAGAAAAGGAGGTAAGAAGGTGTCTATATCATGGGTCATATGAAGCAGACTGCCTGCAAATCCCCCAGTGGTAAAGTACCGAAGAAACAACTGCGGCTCGCAAAAGTGCGCCCTCTACTGGAGGCACTCCACGAAATTAGACGCAACCAGAAATCCACTGAACTTCTGAATCACAAACTCCTCTTCCAGTGTCTGGTTTGGGAATTGCTCAGGACTTCAAAAACAGCTCTGCACTTCCTGAGTGGAGCTATTGGTGCTTTGCAGGAGGTAAGTGACGCCTATCTGGTTGGCCTTTTTGAAGATATCAGCTTGTGTGCTATCCATGACAAACGTATAGTTATGCCAAAAGATATCAACTAGCGCCGCTGCATACGTGGAGAATGTGCTTAAGAACCCCGAAAACATTTCATTCTAAAAAAAAAAACCCTATTTTTTCTCTTCTTCCTGTTATCAGCAGTTCTAAAAGTTAGATTATTTTTCCCCCATGGGGTCAAAAGGTATCTAAATATATAATTGTGAGTGGAAAAATAGGGGACAGAAATCAGGTATTGTCAGTTTTTCCATTTTTGTTTATGAATTTTTAATACAAATGTGTGATGTAATGCATTAATGCAAGTCAAAATGTTTCATTGAACAAATTTCAACAGTTCAACTTTATAACAACTATAAATAAACCTGTTAACTTTTTCTGGACTATGCCAGCATTTGGATTTTTAAAAAGTAAGTAAATTTCCTATTGATAGCAACTAAATGGTGTTTGTAGCCTTTTTATCATACAGTAGATTCCATCCATTCACAACATTTTTCTGAGTTGGCCTACATGAAAATTTATGTATTTAAAAAATATTTCATTATTTTTTTGTGTATGAGTGTGTTGCCTCCATGTATGTGAGTGCACCCATGTCTTGCAATGCCCATGGGGCTCAGAAGAGGGCACTGGATCCCCTGGAACTGGAGTTACAGAAGGTTGTTAGCCACCATGGGTGGGTGCTGGGAACAGAACCTGGCTCCTCTGCAAGAGCAGTCAGTGCTCTTAACTGCTGAGCCATTGCTCCAGTACCCAAGTACATGTTTCTAATGTCTGTCTTCTGTACTGTTCCTCTAAGTTTGCTATTAAAATACATTAAACAAACAAAAAATGTAATATTCAGTGGAACTTTATGTAGCTAAATAGAAAAAGAATGAAATTTGTAGGAAAATGGATAGAACTGGAAAAAATTATACTGAGTGAGGTACCCAGGCCCAGAAATACACAGTTTTTTTTTCCTTATATGCAGATCCTAGCCTTGGTTTGTGTGAGTATCTTGTAGTATCTTGGGAATCCAAGAAACTTGAAAGAGGATATCTTAAGACAGGAGATACAGTACCATATAGGTTAAATGAGGGTGGAGAGGGGGTGCATCGGGAATGGGCAGGTATAAACAGGGAGAAGGGTAGGGAATACAAGGGAATGGGAGGAGAATCAAACAAAATAAAGGAGGTATGAGAAAAAGTTAGAAACTTATTGATAACTCAAAAAACAGAAGAGTTTAAGGGTAGATACCCTACAAGACTAGACAACGAAGGTCCTAGAAGCAATGGGCCATAACATAAAAAGTCCAGTGCCAAGTGTGGGACACCTTGGTACAAGCTGTTGGTCAGAGGTGCCAGGGACCCCCCCCCCCAAACAATAAAGGCTCTTGCCATTTTTCCTGATTACTCACCAGAACAAGTTAATAAGACCCTACTGCTATAGATACCACACACCTTGGATACAAGTTGGGGAGAAATCAACCTGGAAATGGGTAGAGGATTCCTCCCTGCTGGCTGGCTTTCATGGTGTAAGATGGTGCTATGTAGGCTGTTGTGGGGTAAAGGCATCAACTGTGAACTCTATTAATGGTAATACTAAACTTACAAGGCAAGAAGTGTTCATTGGTATAATGGTAGCATAACTGTTATGGGGTATTCAACTGCTCTCTAAATGAATTTAGGGCTTGCTCTACAAAAGGGGATCCATGCCTGTGCTGGATAGTGTTAGTGTCAACTTGACACATCTGGGTTGAGGGAGCCTCAATTGGGGAATTGCCTTCATTGGACTGGCCTGTGGCCATGTCCATGGGGCACCTTCTTGATTGCTGAGTGATGTGGGAGGGCCCAGCCCATTGTGGGTGGTGCCACCCCTGGGCAGGTGGGCCTGTGTTGTATAAGAAAGCAGGTTGAGCAGGGGCTAGGGGAGCAAGCCAGTAAGCAGAGTTCCTCTGTGGCCCGTGCTCCAGCTCCTGCCTCCAGGTTCCTGCCCCAAGTTTCTACCTTGGGCTCCCTGATGAACTGTGACCTGGGAGATGTAAGACAAATAAACCCTTTCCTCCCCAAGTTGGTAGTGGTCAGAGTGTTTTGTCACAGCAATGAAGAGACAAACTAGGACAATGCCTAATACTATAAACTTGGTCCAAAATTCATGACTGAAAAAGTCTTGGGCTCTGGGGGTTGGGGGCATAAGATGACTGCTTAGCTGAAATGACATATCAAACCACTTCCTAAATATATTTATACCATAGACAAAGTCTTCTCTGTCTTAAAGATTCCTCTCCCTGCAATGAACAGAGATGAATTTAATAATTTAAGGCTACACAGGATGCTAAGAATAAAGAATGGTTGAGAGTTCACCCTAGACATTTATACCACCCCCTTAAGGTTCAGAGAGTGCAGCAGGAATTAGAAAGAATGTAAGAGCTGCAGGATAGGGAGAGGGTCTTTTAAGTAGGACACAGACATGGGACTCACAAACTCAAGAGTGACTGTGCATACGGAGGCCAAAGAAGTCAGGCACTCCTAACAGTCAGCTATGAAAGGGAAAGGGACTCAAAGGGCCCTACTACACACTGTTCATCTGTTGGTAACAGATTCTGGGAGAGGCAGAAACATGGTAGCCAGCTGTATACCCATTTGGTGAGTCCACCATGCTCTCATGGTTAGTTCCAAGCTCAAGATCACAGGGATGGCCCTGATTAGGATAATAGAGAAAAGAGATTTATAGGAAGGAGCAAGGGTTAGAGAGCTGATAGCAGGAAGAAAATGAGAGAAGGGGGAAGGGGACCAAAATATATAATGTACATGTATGAAATCATTAAGGAACAAAATTTACAACGCCTCCGCCCAACCCCAAACTAAAAATAAAACTGTGCTAGGTAGCTTCAGTTGTCAACTAGACATACCTTGGAAAAGGGAACTTCAATTGAGGACTTCCCTTTCAGATTAGCCTGTGGCCATGTCTGTGAGGCATTTTAATTACTAGTTGATGTGGGAGGTGCCATACCCTGGCAGGTGGGCTGGAGTTCAGGGGAAGCAAACCCAGAAGCAGGGCTCCTCTGTTAGGTGTTTCAATTCCTGCCTCTGGGTTCCCTTAAAGATGGATTGTTCCTTGAAAATCAAAGTGTGGGATATAATAAATCCTTTCCTCTCCAAGTTGCGTATGGACAGTGTTTTATCACAGCAATGGAAACCTAACTAGGACAAAACCTAATTTACAAAAGTGCTTTCTTTCCCCCCTTTCAGTTATGACTGGCAGTTTTACTGGGTATAAGAGTGGGTTGACAGTTTGTTATCTTTCAGAGATTAAAATATATCATTCCAAGTCTTCTTGGCTTTTAAATTTTGACAAACTGATGTTACTCTGATGGGTCTTTTATGTGGCTTGGTGTTTCTCTCCTGCAGCTTTCAACATATGTTCTTTGTTCTGTATATTTAGTGTTTTGACTATGTAACATGGGGAGGTTTTCTGGTCTTATCTCTTTGGTGTTTTAAATGCCCCATGTTCCTGAATGGGCATCTCTCTCCCTATATTTGGGAAATTTTCTATGATTTTATTATGCCTTTAGAATGATATTCTTCTTCTATGTCCATGATTTGTGGACTTTTTTTTTTTTGAGACAGGGTCTCCCTATAGCCCCAGCTGGCCTCGTACTCCCTATGTAGACCAGGCCAGCCTCAACCTTAGAGATCGGTCTGCCTCTGCCTCCTGAGTGATAGGACAAAAGGCATGCACCTCCTGGCTGATTTTGTCTTTTTAGTTTCCTCTAGATCTCAAATGTTCCATTTGTACCTTATTAATTTACCTGTCACTGTCTCAGTGTTTCAGATCCACCTCCTTTACTTCAAGGCCTGATGATCTTGTCTTCCCCTCAATTGATCCATTGTTATTGATGAGGTTTTCTACAGGCTTCTGACTTACTGAATTTTTCATAACCAATATTTCAGTTTGCTTTTTTCCAGTATTTGAATCTCTTTATTGAATTCCTCTCATCTTATATGGACTTCTTTATTTCATTCAGCTGTTTATGTTCTTTCCAAATTCACTCAGGATCGTGCTCTTTGATTTCCTTGAACATACTTACATTCTTTGTAATTCTATCTTGGATTTCATCAAATTCATCCTCATTGAAAGACATTACTGTGGAATTAGTAATTTTTGGAGGAGTCAATGCTGCCTTATGTTTTGATTAGATTTTTTTTTAATTACTTTTTGTCTTTCAGTTTAAGTTTTGCAGTGTTCAAGGACAAGGTTATAGTGGAATGAGATGTCTCTCTTTAATTTTGTACATGTTTTTTCTGAATGCATTTTGAAGATCTGCTTGTTGTGTATTTAGCAGTGTATCTTCTTGCTAAACTGACCCTGCCATCCTTTTGGTGGTAAGTTTTGTTAACTCTGAAGTCTATTTTCATATTAATATGGCCACTGTAGCTTTGATAGCTGTGTGCACGGTGCTATGGTCTGAATGCTGGTGTCCCACCACCCCAAAAGCACGTTGGATTCTGACAAAGAATGTTATGCTATCAGGACATGAGGTCTTTGGGTAGAGATTAAGTTATGAGGGTTAAGTGTTATCATGAATTTTATTGGTTCCCCTTTAAAAGAGGCCTTACGGACCCTTGATACAGCAAGAACGTACCATCTTTGAAACAAAGAGCCATCCCCCTCTCACCAGATGCTAAAAATGACTGGTACCTTTCTCTTGAACTCACCAGCCTCTAGAAGTATTAATAATTTCTTATAAATAACTAGTTTCTTTTTATTACATTTGTTATAGCAGCCTGGACATATTAAGTTAGATGAGCATACCTTTTTCCAATTTTTTTAACCTGACCTATATCATATTTGCAGATAGCATCTAATTGGGATCATTAAAAGTTCATCTGACATGACTCCCCCAGCCTCATTCACCCTCCCATCTCCCTGGCCAGTCACTCCTAGTTTGAGTCCTGTCCCATTCCATGTCTTGGGGCCCCAGAAACCTGGGGTAAGTCCATCGCGTCTGCGCTTTGACTCCCCCAGCCTCATTCACCATCCCATCTCCCGCGCTGGTCTCTCCTAGTTTGGG